TTCGAATAGAGCTAGCCTACAAATAAGTTGTGTGATAACAATATATGATGTGAGTTGACCACATAACCCATAAAATTTAAAATACTTAGCATTTGGCCCTTTATAGAGTGTGCTGATCTCTTATCCAGTTGGCAGAACAACTGAGATTAGAACGTAAGATTCTTGGCCTCCAATACTGCACTTCCCTGATTACACTTGAGATTTGCTCTCTCAAAATTAATTACAGGAAGACATGCTTTCACCAGTGTTTAATCATCTAGAAACCCCTATTAATGGGCACTTCCACATATCCGTGTATAATGACCAATTCATTTCATAGTTATTACCCCAATACATTTGAACCAAATCCTGATTTTCAGTATTTACATTAAGCATGTTCTATATGCAATTTCTTTCAAAAATGCTAACTGGGGTACTGCAGAACATGTATGTTCTGAAGTCCAGCAGCTTGTGTATAAGAAAGGATTCACATTGACATTTACCACCAGATTTGCTGGCTCTTTGCCTCCATCTGTGATGTCAGCCTTTAGACTCATACGAAGTCCTGTCTAGCTAAATGTTTGGCTTCTCTAGAGAAGCTTTATAGAAGCAAGGCTCTTCTTACAAGAGCTGTCTGCGAGAAACACTTACCAGTAGTATCAAGCAAATACTGCCTGGCTGATGAGCTCTCAACTTCCTTGAACTTCTGAGCTCCAACCTTCTTGGTGAAGGGGATCAGAAGTAAAGGTGTTGGAACAACATGGGGCCCCCTTTGTCATCCACAGCACTAGATCACACTGAAATGCCACTCTTCTACTCAGCAGCATGGGCGAACTTCTTTCTATTCACCATAGGTCTATGGCCAAAAGTTTCAAAAGTGAAGTCGCAAAATGAGAATCACTTGGAGAATTTTGAGTGATGAAAATTTCATCCCATATGAATTAGAGATTCTGGTATTAAAGTCCAACAATCTTCTTGAACAAAAAATGGGTAGCTTTTATCCATGGTAAAGCTTGAGAAACATTGACATAGGGTGTTTTATGGAGATGAACATTTTGGTGCCCAATTTTTCCTCTTCTCCCTAGTGTAGTAGTTTGTGCATAAATACAGCTACTATAAAGTTACCTGCCTCAGAATCTGTACCCGTTGCAATACGATGCCTCAGTTAAATCAAGAAATGAAGTCATTGTCTCACTTCTGGAATGTGGGCTACAGTTTAAATTTGCTTTGGCCAATAGAATGCAGCCGAAATGTTGTATAACCTTCAAGATCTGAGCATCAGGACATCTCACTTCTCCCCTGCCCTTCTTGGAAGACTGCCTTGAGATCACCTTAACATGAAGCCCTAGTCTAACCACCATAGGATGAGAGCTTCTGAACTACTGAGGTTGTTCAGCGCAAAGCCTCCTGTGAGACACCTAAGTGAAACCATTTTAAGCAGCTAGCTTCCATGCCTTCACCATATGACTTCATTCACATTGGTTATCTTCCGCTAGGATCATCAGAATAACCATCCAGATAATGCTGGGGCAAACTGCAGAGCAACAGATTCAGAAATGAGTAAATTGCTCTTATTTTAGACCAATATGGCTTAGGGAGGTTTTATGCAACAATAGCTGATTGATACAACACATATCCAAGGAAAGACAATTGCAGAAGTTTGTTTCAAACATACCCATTTATCCTGTAAATTTAAAAACTGTATACAGCTCAGACAGGACCACTGCATCATATCATACAATTGAGGTAACCAGCCATAAGAAAGCTTGGCTTAGTGCTTTCAAAAAGCCACTTTGGGGCTAAATTTCCACACTATAAAATATTCAACCAGGTGATAATACCATTGATTATTCCAAGTTCAGAATTCTAAGAAATTCATAGTAAATGGATTTCTCCTACTTCTTAAATAGAAAAGACTGAGAAACATGTGTCACCTTTAGTCCCTGAGTGAGTTAAATTGCATTGACTGTTGGTTAGCTGCCTCTTTATCTGGAATTTCCATTAGGTTCCTGGACAGAGACAGAGCAGAACACACACAAAAGCAAAACAACACAACTCAGACATTGGAGACTGACATACATGGATTAGAATCCTGGCTTTCTTTCTTTCTGGCTGTGTGCCCTTAATCTAGCTATGTCTCTTTGAAACTTTGGGTTCCTTACCTTTTAAAAATTTGTGTCTACCATATGTACTTTTGCAATTGTTTTGATGATAAAGAGATTAATGCAAAAGCAGCTATGTAGCAATAGTAGGAGTTCAATGGAAAAAAATTACGATGAATCATGAATTCTACCGCATAATATAGTACATGAAATATAATCACAGGATAACTTAATTTTTTAAATTATTGAACTTATTTCATATTAATTTCATGAAGTAATATAAACAATGTCAATACTGATGTCTTAATTACCACATAAATTTTAAAAGAGTTTTATTTCAATAAAAACAACTCTGTATCTAACTGATCCCTTATTGACTCTTTACATTCACCATTTGTGTGTTTATTACTCTAACTTTATGCCCAGCTCTGACAGCTTTGCTAAAGGGGATGAAAAGCCCCTAGTTTTGAGACAATTTTTCTCAGTTCTCCAGCTCGGGTCCCTGTTCTACTAGCTCACTTCATTAACTTGGAGCTGAGGACAGTCCTAGATTCCTCATTTGCAGCAAGACAGAAGGAGTGGGGAGGAAGGCAGGTACAACAGAGGAAAAAGAGGCCCTCACTGGGGAAGAAAAGTAGACAGAACAAGAGTCCTGAAATACTCCCATTGCCTCCTCAGCTCTTTGCCTGGCCCTGTGCTGCTGTCTCACTGGTCTTACTGACATTGCTCTGTTTTGTAACCTCTTCACTTTGACTGTTCTCTTTCTGCCTGGAATATTCTCTCAAGTATACATACACCTCACTGTGTCAAGTCAACATTGTTCTAATGAAGGCCTCTGCCTGACCACACCATAGATACTAATTATGCTTCTCAAACTTCAGCGTGTGCATGAGCCCCTGGGGAGTTTATTAAAATACAGATTGCGGTTAGGTGAGTCTGAGGTGGGACTTGCATTTCTAACCAAGGTGATTTGACACCAATTCATAACCTATATTCTATAATACTTATATTAGAAAAAAATGTATATGTACTAGTTTATTGTCTGTTTCTTCCAATTAGAATGTTTCACAAAAAGTAGGACATTATCTTATTTTTGTATTGAAACTTCAGCACCTGATACTCTGTATGTCAAAGTTATGCCATAAATGTTTACTGGAGTGGATGAATGCATGTTACTGGAAATCAAAACTGGAACTTCGAATGCATTCTCTATTTGAAATATTACCATTATATTTAGAGACACTACATGTTAAATAGATTTCTGTGTCCTGGTTTGCATACTTTCCTACCCCATATAGAGTGGTTTTAATGGGGACATAAGCCCATAAATTTGCCTCAACAAGCTTATAAAAGAATCACTGTAACAAAATCACTTCAGAGGGTATGAAATCGAAGGCTGAACATATAAGAAGCAGAGAACAAATGCCAGTATATGATTATAGAGGGACAAACTGTGCACATGTGCTGAGGGAAACAAAAATTACAGCTCATACAAAGAAATAAACCCAACATCATTAGTTGAATACAAACCCTGATATAGCAATTTCAGTGTCCCAGGTTGACGAAAAAAACCAAAAAACCCCCCCCCAAAAAACCCAGCGCTTGCACATCTTTTTCAAGTCTACATTGTCATTAAGTCTAACTCTGATGACTGTCCAGAAATCCCTAGAGGCTCATGAGATGTTCTGTGCTCAGACTGCACGGCTTCTTTTAACCCAAGCAATATTTATGCCTCTACTGAGTTATGATTATGTTACTCTGGCTGTGATCTTTCCAGTTCAATATATTTCTACTTTATAAAAAACAAAATTCAGCTTTACCTAAAGAATTGGTCACCATGCAAAATACTTCAATCTTTGATCTCTGAAAAGTAGACAAAGAAAAGAAATACACCCAAAAATGCATTTTCTTCTGTCTAGATACAGAATTGGCACAGCAAAGAAAGGTTTTTTGGCTTTTCTCCCATGAGAGTCAAAGCCAGCGTTAAGAATGCTGTGAGATTTTTTTGTATACCTCCTCTCAACAACTGAACAAAAAGTGAAATAAAACAGACTGAAAATATGCAGTAACAACAAAAGTTATAGCTATAGCTAAATGAAGAAACATCAGTCACCAAGAAGGAGCATGGTAATCATAGTTCACTGTTTAATTCTTTTGAACTCAAAAGGAAAGAACTCTTAAAATTGCTTTTAAAGGGGCCAGGGAGAGATAGGAAGACTGAGTTTCAGTGATTTCTGTGATTTTTTGTAAGCATACTGTATTGTATGGTATTGTAAGTGCAATATCATCTAAATGCTATAGGACTCGGAGATTGAACTCCCATGGGCATAGCATTAGTAGATGCTCTGTTGCTTCACCTTGATTAGAAAGTAAACCATTTCTGTGCTGGGAATACTGGTTGTTTACTGTTTTCCCTACAAAGAATTGCTTCGAGCTGCAGAAAACAAAACAGAATCCTTCCAAGTTCCCTCTGCTTCAGGGGAGCAGCCCACAGGCAAAGATGGGCTGGAAATGGAACAGAAAGGCACACCCTCTCCCAGCCACCCAAGACAGCTCTATAAAGCCAGCCCAGCCTAGGGCTCCTGTGAAACCATCTCTTGGGAAAACAAGATAGGGCATCTACTGAAGCCAAACTGCATTGAAGCCTCTGCTACTCTTGCCTGCTTTCCCCTATTTCTCCTAGTTGTATCTTCATAGAACCCTGTTCAATAAATCTTTGGCATGAGATGCTTTTGAATCACAGCCAAATTGCAGAGCCCATTCCCAGAATTCTGCATAGTAAATATCACAAAGGTTTATTGCTAGCTGCAGAATCAGGAGAGGAAATTCTTTCCTTTTCCTCAAAGATCACCTCATTGTCATGCTTTGTAGTGAATAGCTGGCAAAACAAAACAAAAAAAATGGATGCATTATACTTACAGGCTCCAACAGTAGTCAGTCCAGGAGGAAGGTCAGGCTGCTTTGCCCTCAGCTCTCGAAGTAAGTGCTTGACAGCCGCCCACTCAGAGCTCAGGTCTTCTAACTTTCTCTTTAATAGAAAAGCGCATGTGTTACTTACTTGATTAACACCTTGAAGATAACTTAATTCGTGAAGTTATTAATTTGTTTTGTGAATATATTATTGAATTTCTATTATATTTTACTTCTACATTAATTTTCTGGGTAGAATTCCTCTCAGTGGAATTATAATTATTTTAGCCAACTACCCGACAAATATTTATTGATTGTTTGCTCCATACAAAGCCTTCCTCCAGGCATAATTTCATTTAGAAAAAATGTCGAGTGCAAACATTAGTGAAAAGAAAACAAACAGAAAACAGCCCTCTCTCAACCTTTGGCTTGACTCTTTTAAGTACTATCTATTGTGACTGCATGCTGAGATTCTCCAGAGTACTTTTAATGCATTTTAATGCCCTTTCTCACCCAAGGTCAATGATGTGAGACTCTTGGAGAGACAGTGGTGGAGACCAGGATACACTACCCAGGGGCCCTTCAAGGAAACATTCTTGTTGATGAAGCAGATGACGTAGGTAAACATCCTTTAGGTGTCACTGCTTTCAGAGACAGCCTCAGAAGCAGAGTAGAGTTCTCCCTGGGCAAGCTCCCCGTGGACCCAGTTTGGCCCCCTGTATATTTGGGGGAGAATTGTATTGTGCTTGCCCACCCCACAGTGGTTCTGTCCTTTACAATCCACGGTTTCACCTGGAAGCCTTATTAAAACAATAATGTATTAAATAGGGCTCACGTGGGGCCAAAGAGGTAACTGGTGAAACAATTTTCCAGGTGATGCTGATCGTCCATGACCAAAACCTAAGGTATCCATTATGCTTAATGAGTTACCAAAGTATCTTGCAATAAACTATGTATCATCTTTGGAATAAAATAACAAAATAGATTCAAACTGAACAAAGCTACGAAGTGAATGGCAGAGGCTTATATGGATAGAACGTAAGCTTCTATAATAGTATTAAGGCAGCAAAGTTGCTTAGCTGGACACACATACACTATGTTGGCACAGGAACAAGAAAAACATCAGTATTGTGGAATGTTTCTTTGTCACAATTAGCAATACCTGATTAATACAGTAGTAAGACCCTTAAAAACTTTACCAGCACATTCTGAGGGTTAACAGCAACACTTTGATATAGCTGTAAATTCTTATGCACATGTTGTGGGGAATACAAATAATTTTACTCCCAGTGGATTTAGTGAAAATGAATATTTTAACAAAGTTTCATTCTCTTAAAGCAATGAATCATCAGATTTGGAAGAACCAGAAACCACAAACCCTTTAAAGAGGTGTTGAGTAAATAGGAGTGGTAATGACCCATCCTAACAACTGGAATATTTTATGTACATATTGCAGTTTGTGCTGATCATTAATTTAATGCTAATCATTTCAATAAAAACATTCACTTATTTATTTATAGTAGGAAATACATGTTCAGCTGCTACTCTGGGCCAATTCCCATGCCAGTTACCAAGCTTACAAAATGAAGATAATCTCTAAGCATTTACGGCCATGTGAGAAAATAGAAATGTAAACGAATGACAGCAGAGTTTTGGGGAAAGACACCCTGGAGGGATGGCTTAATTCAGCCTGTGGAGGTCAACAGGTTACCTAAGAAAGCTAACATATGAATTGGTCTTTCAAGAACAGAAATTGTTCCACAAGGTGACAGTGGAATGCTAGGTGGAAAAATGGCATTCAAGATGGAGAGAAGAATATGACTAAAGGCACAGGAATAAGAACTATGAAGTCTTTTCAAGAAAATCCAGTTTTTCCTAGTTATCTGGACTAAAAGTTGATAAGAAACAATATGGAAATGCTAGATGAGACCAAATGGCAATTTAGTAAGTACTTCTAATGTGAGGTTAAAGGATTCTCTTTGTAAACTAGGGAGGTGTTTGGAGCAGAAGAATGAGGCAACAAGATTTGGAGTTTTACAGTGTAGAATCCAAATCACAAGAGAGCAGATATATAAGTTGGGACACTAATGCTGTTACGGGAGTGAGAAGTGTTGAACTGACCCTGGGCTTTGGCCAAGCAGGGAAAGGTAGGAGGGAGGAGTGGGGAGGGATGGTTTATTTTTGCTGGGAAGTATGGAAGAGAAACTTTTGGACAAGGAGCTTTCTCAAATCCATCCTTCCTCTGTCCACTGTTGTCTTTCCAGTTATACTCCGTGGCCTTTAGAAAATAGTTAGCAGGTTTTCTGTTGCTTGTGTGCTATCTCTGCACAGTGAACCAGTGCTTCCCAATAACAGGTGCTCTGAAAATCTTTCTTTCTTTTCTTTCTTTCTTTCTTTCTTTCTTTCTTTCTTTCTTTCTTTCTTTTTCTTTTTTTTTTTGTGGAACCAGGGATTGAACTCAGGCCCTTGTGTTTTCCAGGCAAGTGCTTATTCTACTGAGCTATCTCTCTGGCCCCTGAAAATATTTCTGACTTCAATACAAGGCCACAAAAATAACTACTTGAATGAGAAAAAAGAGGACTAATTTAGTGTTCCTCTTTCCAACTTGACTACAATATGAATTATGAAAGAAACTGAACATAAGGAATAAACAACTGAGATCAGGGAAACTAAAGTTAAGGAAAAGGGCCAGCGAGATAGCTCAGCAGACTAAGCACTTGCTTAGGTAAGTGCAAGGACTAGCATTCAACCCCTGGCACCACATGCTGTGCCAGCCCTGCCCCTGGGCGCACTTAGCAGGCAATGGTGGTTCAGGCGTGGTGGTTCACACCTGTAATCCCAGCACTAGGGAGGCAGAAATCAGGAGGATCACTATGAGTCTGAGCTGTGTAGTGAGACCCTGCTCCTCCTGAAAAAAATCCCAAAAATAAATAAATAAAGTTAAGGAAACATCATGTAAGTATATACACAGGATAGCTAAGATGATTGTGCTACTAATTTCTATTACTTTTTTGAAGGTGGCAGTTAATGTTTAAAATTTTTACTTTGACCAATTTTATATGCTAATATCTGCAATCTGAGCAACCACTTTGAAAACAGCAATGTGCAATGTAACAACCATGGTTGAAAGGGCCAGCCAAATAGCTCCATGTATTAAAGTGCTTGCAAACAGGTACAGGGGCCGGGGCTTCAATCCCAGGCCTGCTGTGCCAGCCCCGTTCTCTGGGGTGTGCTGAGATGGCAATTGAGACTGGGTGTGGTGATGGGTGCATATAATCCCAGTTCATGGTAGTCTGTAAACAGGTGGATCCCTATAAGTCTGATCTAGTAGTGAGACCCTGAACACCCTGTAGAAACTTCCCTAAAATAAAAACAAAACAAAACAAAACAAAACATGGTTGAATACTTTTCATCTACTTTTTAAAAAATGTGTGTCATTTCTAAAGTCTTATCTATTATTCTTATACTCTCTCTAAAATAAATTTAAAAATGAAAAGGATGAACAAAATTAAGGTTTATTGAAAAGAAGAATTAATGTTTAATTGTTTGATCAATCTGGCATGCCTTTATCTGGTAATCTGAGCAACAAATTTGATGATAACAATATGTAGTATAATAACTATTGTTAATTTCCTAATCTTGTTCAGAAATAATGTACAATTTTAATTGTTTTGTGTTGCATTGTTTTTGTTTTTCTTATTTGCTTTTGTTTTTTCCCTCTTTAAAATAACATTTAAAAAATGAATTGTGTACCATTGATTAGTCTTCTTACAGAGCAATTAAAAGATCCCATGTAATTTTTTCAGGCATGCAATCAATTTATTAAGGCATTAATAATTCCTGAATGAAACTGCAATGTACTTGAAAAAATAATCCCTTAAACCAGGGCCACAAATACAATTCTTTACCAGAATCTGGGTGATAACCAAGAGAATAGCAAGACTTGACTAAAAGCAGACATCCACAATTTCAAAAACTCTCTACTGATCATATTTATATATGTGTGCATACCAGAGAAGATTTACTCATCCTCCTAATGGCATAAGCAAACATGAGAAACTTTGTGATGTGTATGCTAAGGAAATGTGTAATTGAATATGATGGATCTAGGCTAATTGATAGTACGTAATTGCTAAAATCAACAAACTAATCCAGAATAACATAGATGGATCTTTAAAACACAGCTGTTATTTTTTTAAAGCTAAGAAACACAACATTTATAGCATATCAGTTTTTAAAATTAAAATTATTTTATATTTTATGGGAATAAAGTGGATAGAAAAACAGGAAGAGAATGGGCCAGCCAAATAGCTCAGCAGCTTAAAGCATCTACTTAGGCAGACACAGGGGCAGGGTTTCAATCTCTGGCCTGCTGTGCGGGCCCTGCCCCCAGGGCATGCTGAGACTACAAATGAAACTGGGCATGGTGGTGCATGCCTGTAATCCCAGTGCTCGGGAGACTGAAAACTGGAGGATCACTATGACTCCAATCTGTGTAGACCCTATACTAAATAAATAAAAATAAATAACAAGAACAAAAGCAGGAAAAGACATATTGTTATATTTTAAGAATTTCATGGACTGATTCTTAAAATAACCATTACAAATTAAACTATGAGCCAGGAGTGGTGTCACATGCCTGTAATCTCAGCATTTGGGAGTCCAAGGATCTACAAACTGCGGTGTAGGGTTTCAGGTTAAATCCTGAGGGGATTTGACTGACCTTGTCAGATACAGAAGTTACATTTCTTGTTATATATATAAGTCTTGCTTTATCTTGGTCTTAACCATCCAGCAGCAAAGTATGAAAACAAAGTATAAGAAGCAAAGCCACATTAATATGCTGAGCTGTAGAAAGCTCAAGTCAACAACTTTGGACATTGCCAGTCTTATAGAAAACCCACTACTATTATGGACTACTGGACTCTATTGGGAGATTCTGCTGAATTCAAGCACCTACAATATTTAAATGACAATGGAATGCCCTTTTCTGTCACAACTAACAAAAAAAGTGGAATAAAAATGAACGACCCTTTTGTATCTGTATACTCAAAATAGTTAGGATAGATATACAGCTCCATTCTCTTAATTCAATGAATAGAGAGGTTTGTTATCATA